AAAGATTTCCTCCATCCATGCTCAAAAATTTTGTTTGAAGGCGTGATCAACAAGGTTGGGTCAAAGGCTTCATCTTTAATGGCGTTTTGATTGGTCATTGTTGCGACATGATTTTGCTCTAGTCTAAATAGCAAGTTAAATGCTTGCCCATCACTACACCCTAGAGTTGGGTGTTTTGATTTTACGATACTAAAATCGTCATCCAACAAGTAGCAATCATGAAGTATCTCAAATCCAGGCTTCTTGATTCCTTCCAAAACTAAGGGTTCTGGAAAGTCGTAGCATGGGTAATCTTCTCCCTCCCTAATGAATTGTCCATTAAGGGTTCGTTGATAGGATGGGAGTAAAGTGATTATCCCTTTCTTATTATTGTCTCTATGTGCTTTGTTTTTGGCGTCGTGAGACTCCAATTCTTCTTTGGTTGGTTTATATTCCAATCCAAAGGAGAAGCTTTTCTTTGGGATAGGAAGTAAGAGAGATTTCTTCATTTCTATTCCCAAAGGCATCCCAGGAAAGTAACTACTCTTGAGCAAGATGTTTTTTACTATCCGAGTGGAATATGGATCAAGCTTGAATGATTTTTCCAAGTCTTCTTCCATTTCAATTGTGAATATTGGCTCCATGGAAAATCCCCACATGTCCTCTTCATCATTATCATGGTTTATTTCTAAGAGTGATTGATCATTCATTGCTATTTTGAGTGGAGAAGCATGTATAGTCATAGGAAGCCCTTGATAGTTCAACCTAGTCATTTGATGAAGTGAGGATGGTATTGCACCAAGCTCGTGTATCCAAGGACGTCTAAGTAAAAGGTTGAATGTAGGTTTTATATCCATAACATGGAATTCAACCACCTTTTGAATTGGGCCTGTGGTAATGGGTATCTTAATAGTTTCACACACCGATCTTCTCGAATTGTAATAGGCCCTTATGCTTTGTTTTGTTGATTAAAAAACTTTTTCTGGATTTAGGCCTAAGTATTTTCCGTTCGTAATGGGCATACGTTTACAGCCGACACATTGTCTACCAAAGTTAGAGGGATGTTGTATCCCTTGCATCCCACAGTTAAGTATAACGCATTGTTGTGGGTAATGTCCTTTAAGCAATTCATCATTAGTGAAAACGATTGACTTGTCGGATTTCTAGCTAGTAAGAAAGCTAACGAGATCATGAGGGGTTGGGACCGTGCTTACAAACAAAGCCGTTAGAGCGTTCATGAGAGAATTCCTATGTTCTTTAGAAGTACTTAGGAGTTCCCAAATGCTAACATTCGCCTTGGATTGGAAAAGTTGTTTGATCAATGGATCTTCCACCTCAAGTGGAGGTGGTATTGTATTTTGTGTTTGACCTTGAGTTTGATTTTGTGTGGTCGAAGATCCATTTGGTGGTGGTGCTTGGTAGACTCGCCCAGAACGAGTTAAATGATCTGTCTCATTTAGGTTAGTCACATGACTCATAAACCAACTTTCTTCTAGAGGCTTTGGATGTGCCTCCATTTCAAGATGCTCCATGAGTTGTGCTTGATGTCATTGTTCATCCAAGGAGAGATTCGATAAGTCTTGCGATTTTCCCAAGAAATGATCCAAATCAAGCGTTCCATTTGTTTCATTTTGCAAACAAGATAGAGGTGGGACGACGACATACTTAGAGACATATAAGTCTTGAAAGTCGTCATCCCATAGTCCACACACTTCATTAGTTGCCCCTATGAGTATTGTGGATAGAGGTTCTCTTATGGGTGTGATATAGTCCAAAGGATTGAACATGTCACTTCCCATATGGTCTTCCTCGATGTTAAACACCCCTAAGGGGGATGCATTATTGTTAATTTTAGGCGTGGGAATTCTCCCATCGTCTACTAAATCTTGTATTTTGTGCTTTAAAACATAGCAAAGTTCAGGTGCGTATCCAACGCCTCTATGATAAACACAATAAGCATTACCATTCCATTAAGGAAACCTCTTTTCTAGTAGAGTGGGTAGTGTTGGCCATGTTGGGGCAAGTAAGCCTTTTTCATTTAGTTTTTCTAGGAATTCTTTGTAGCTTACAGAAAATGGAGTAAATTTTCTCTCTTTGTCCATCTTTTCCTAGGATCATCATATCGATTGTTATTGTATTGCGTGGATGTCGCAAATACGTCAATAAAGGATGATTCATTATCATTCCCCTTCTTGTAGTTATTCTTAAGTTGATGATGATAATGAGGTTTATTTGCTTTTTCCTTAGCAAGATCATCTTCAATCTTAGTAGCCGTAGAATAGACCTTTTGAAAAGTGTCTAGACCAAGGTAACGTAGATGTTTGTTGTACTTTTCATTACAATTGTCAATGAATTTTTGTACTAACTCGAGTTCAGGAGACCTTTGGGCAAGGTAGGTCGCCTTTTCTTGCCATCTACCATAGAAAGCAAGGAAACCTTCATCGTCTCCTTGCTTAAACATCTCGAGTTCACGTAAAGTTGACTTGAACTCTACGTTACTCTCGTATTAGGTGATGAAAGCCGAAACTACATCTTCCTATGTTGCTTTAAATTTTGGATCTAGCCCATAGTACCACTCTCTCGCGGTTGGGTCTAGTGATAAAGGGAAAGTCAAAGCATAAAGCTTAGGATCAACTCCCTTTAGTGCCATAGTCACAGTAAAACACATTAAGTGATTTTGTGGATTATTGGTCACCTTAAATATTGGATAGTCCGTAGCTACTAACTTTTCTGGTAATTAGGAACCTAGACCAAACTAAAAAAAAGAAAAAGAAGACTATTCTAACACGTTGCACATTGTTACATAATCACATAAGCATGTTATAAGTCAAGATTCACGCAATGTCATTCTAAGGTAAAAAAATGCTTGGGTGTCCAAAGGTACCATACTTTATAAAACAATGCATAAATCAATCACTCAACGTGTTGACCTATGACATCTCCCTCCCAACATTTTGTTGGTGATATGGGTGGGATGATTGTTATTGATTTTGGGATAGACGCCTAGTGTTGGCGACCCCTAGTTAGTGAGCCAATCCCCAATTGTTTAAGTGTGCTATGCTTATGCATGATGCAATGTTGCTTGTTTGGTTTTTACTTTTGTGCAAAAAGAAGATATTATGCGTTCAAGTCTTGCTATCTAATTAGAGATTATCCAAGTTAATTCTCGTTACAACCCATAGGCAACCTAAAGTTGGATACCTTGGACCATAACTACGAATTAATCGTGTAACCTCTAAGTCCCCAGTGGAGTCGCCACTGTAAGGAGGGTGATCCCATCGTAAGGGGTATTGTCCTTAAATGCTCTTGGCCACTTAAAAGCCTAGGAATTTACACTTGTTAGGGTGTAGTAGGATTTGAATTCCTGACTGTTTGGGGGACCTTGAATTAGAATTGATTCTATCATCACACTTTTTTTGTAAGAAACAAGTAGGAGTCGCCAATGCGTTTTAGGAAAAACTCATAAATCTCGTTCATGCCTTTCTTCCATGTGGAGTTCATGGAATAATTAGCAAAAATCATAAGTTTACTCATTCCCAAATTGGTTTATAAACCATAAATGAGTTCGTGAGCGAGGGTACTAAGATAACGTTCCTTTTCGAGGAGAATCGTCATCCTATCCCTAGTACGGCCTCTACTAGCTCTTCCTTTTTCACAATTTCATCACCAAACAATATATGCAACGCGATACCTAAAATTATGTTAGTTGATTTTATTTAGAAACATTAATTCACGTAGGAATTACATTGCAAAAGTCGTTATTCTTATTTAATAATATTCGTGAAAAAAATATATCAATAAACAAGATTCGCCTTAGCTTAAGTGATCAACCAACAATTATTTAATTCAATTCTAGTCTTTATTTAACGCAAGATACTACGTGGAATTGTTTAATTAATTATTTTAAAAGTGATCAAACAACAATAATTAATTAATTAAAGTTTTTTTAAACAAGAAAATAAAGGTGATTTAACTAAGTGCTCATGAATTTACCACTTCTCTTTGCTAGAACTCCATTTAGAACACTTATGGACACCTTCTTGTTAGGGAACCTCCACCGTAGTAACAAAGTATCGAAAAGGTGAGTGTTTAGGACAAGAGGGCTAGGTTGCACAAGTTCACAAGTTATTTCACCAGAGTTTTAGGTTAATTTCTGTCTGTTGAAGCCTCGGTTTAAGCTCGTATTTATAGAGAATGATTAGATTTAGGGTTTCGAGCAATCTGCAGCAGCTGGTGTCGCGCGCAACAGATGAAGTTGTGCGCGGCAACCTAACGCAAGTTTTAGAGTTGCGCTGCTATGTGCGGCGCAACTATTGTTCTTGCGTGTGGCTTTATGGTAAGATTCAATTTTATATTTTCCATATAATTTTTGAATAATTACAAATCTTCTGCAGCGCAACTCTGGAAGTTGTGATGGGTGTCGCGCGCAACTGAAATAGTTGCACGCGGCAGCCTAGCGCGACTTTGTGAGTTGCGTGCGGATTTTTCTGCGGCAACACTAAGTTTTAACCTAGGCGCTCCTAAATCCGTCATTATTAGGGTTTAAGCAGGGGCTTAAGCCTAATTATGATCGGGTTTAGTTAATTGGAACTTTGTTTTTGCTTTTTTTCTTTAATTTGGGCTAGTCTTTTGTGTTTTGTGGCTTAACCAGTTATCCATAAGTATTCTTCCCTTTGATCTAACACGAAGATGACTTTATTTATTGTCATTGCACTTTCTTGTTGGGATAGGAGGCCAAAAGTAGATGTCTACAATTATAATAGTCAAAGTCATTGCCAAGGATATGGGGACTATAACCAAGGTTATGGTAACCATAATCACGATAGTGGCAAAAATCAATGTAGAGGTAATTGGAACAATCAAAGTAGGGGAAATTTACAATCGAATGGTCAAGGAGATGCCCCACTTGGATTTGTTCCGAATACCCAAGAGCATAGTGATAATTTGTATGATCAATCATTTTCCTCTAAGATTTTCTTAGAAGTGTCATAGAGAATCTAGCCAAATTGTTGGACACCTACATGACCCTAAGCAATGAGAAATTCAATGACATGTTAACTTGCCATAAGGGATTGGAGAGCCAAATTTCTCAATTGGCTAATGAGTTTAAGGAATTTACAAATCTTTCTTCTTTGACTTCACAAAGCTTAGATCTTAAGAGCCCTATGAATGCTATTGTGACTAGAAGTGGTAGGGTCCTTAAGAGTGAAATCTCTAAGAAGAGTGATATTAAAGATAGTCATAGCAATGGCCAAATTGAGAATGAGGGAGAAGAGAATACTTTAGTTGAGGAAGTCAATAACAAACAAGTTGAGAAGGTGAAAGAGAGAGAAAGAGAAGTTTACAAACCTAAGCTCCCTTACCCCCAAAAGTTTAATAGGCACAATCTAGACAAGCAATTTGGGAAATTTATAGAGATGCTTAGACAGCTTCATCTTACTCTTCCTTTTACCGATGTCATTGAACAAATGCCAAATTATGCAAAGTTCCTTAAGGAGATTTTGAGTGGAAATAGAACATGTGGTGTGGCAGAAACGGTTAACTTGACCGAGAATTGTAGTGCAATCATAATGAACAAAATCCCACCCAAGTTGAAGGATCTAGGAAACTTTTCTATCCCTTGCGTTATTTATAAAATGCAAATTGATAATGCCTTGTGTAATTTAGGAGCTAGTGTTAGCATTACGCCATACTCAATATATCAAAGACTAGAGAAGGGAGAACTTTTACCTACCAACATTACCTTGCAATTAGTCGATAGATCAATAAGGATCCCAAGGGGCAAGGTAGAGGATGTTCCCTTGAGGGTAGGAAAGTTCATCATTCCGGTTGATTTTGTGGTCCTTGACATAGATGAGGATTCTACAATTCCTATTATTCTTGGTAGACCATTTCTTGCTACTTCGGGTGCTTTGATTGATGTCAAAAGTGCTAAGATTTCACTTAAAATTGGAGATAAGGGAGTTGAATTTGATTTGAATGAAAGTATGAAATATCCTTCTTCGTCTCTTGAGAATTGCATGAGAGTTGAAATCTTAGATAATCTTGTACATTCAATGCATGACCACTTACTCACAACTAATGATCCTCTTGAGTGTGTTTTGTTGAACAAGGAAAAGATAGGTGCTCCTAGCAAGGACATGGCTTTGTATGAGAACTTTTTAGATGGAAGCGTTGAGGGAAGTGATGAGCAAATTTGCATGAAAATCTTAATCTAAGAGTCTTTGCAAGCGGCTTCAATCAAGGAAGGTAAAGGTGTTCCTATGGTAGAGCTCAAACCTTTACCATCACACCTAAGGTATGAATTCTTAGGCCCAAATTCTACTTATCCTGTGATTGTTAGTGCATCTTTGAGTAAGAGCCAAGGTCAAGTGTTATGCGATGTTTTGAGAAAGCACAAAGGTGCTTTGGGTTATACCATTTATGACCTCAAAGGTATAAACCCCGCTTTATGTACACACCACATAACCCTTGAGGAGGGTGCCCTTCCTTCTATTGAACGACAACGAAAATTACATCCCCAAATGGGGGAGGTAGTAAAGAAATAAATTACTAAGCTTTTAGATGCGGGAATCATATTCCCCATCTCAAGCTCTAGATAGGTCTCACCCGTTCATGTCGTTCCAAAGTAGGGAGGCATGAACGTCGTTAAGAATGAAAAAGGTGAGCTTATTCCAACAAGGACGGTCACCGGTTGGCGGATGTGTATAGACTATAGACGTCTAAACACATCCACTAAGAAAGATTATTTCCCCCTTCCTTTCATTGATCAAATGCTTGAAAGACTAACGAGGCACAAGTACTATTGTTTCCTCGATGGTTAATCGGGATTTTTCCAAATTCCTATTCATCCCAATGACCAAGATAAAACTACTTTTACTTGTCCCTATGGTAACTTTGCTTATAGGAGAATGCCATTCGGCCTTTGGAATGCTCCCGCCACTTTCCAATGGTGTATGATGAGTATCTTTGGAGATATGTTGGAGGAGGAGATGGAGGTGTTTATGGATGATTTCTCCGTAGGTGGAGTTTCCTTTGAAGCATGCCTCGAAAATCTTGAAAAGTGTTTGGCAAGTGGTGAAGGATAATTAGGTCGTTGGACTAACTACCCTCAACCAAACAATATTTATAAACCTACACCTACACTAAACAAGTTTAGTGGTAAGTAGAGGGTCGAACCACGGAGACGACATAAACACTATCAACACCACCACCAATTAAGCTAGGTCAAAGAGATAGGATGGATAGAACAATAAACACAAAATGAGATTAATATTAAGTTAAACTAACACCAAGGGAGAGGGTCAAACATGACAATGATCTTCAATAAAGTTAGGCAATGGAAATGAGTTTACATGCAAACCAAATATCTCATATAAGGCAATACCAACAATACCATCTAACCACCTATCGGGGTCAAAGGCTTTCCCAACTTAACACATGCTCATACTATCGTCATAAGCTATGAAAGTTAAGGTTTTTGCATAGAATCGATCACCTAATGGATATCCCTAAGTTACACTATCGTCATAACTTAGTTCAATCCACCCAATTACAACACATGATTGGCCATTCACATGGATTAATTAGTAAAACATGGTTACAAGGTATATTTAATCAATATAACCAACATTTGTCTAGCCTAATACATTCAAGATTCACCACATGCTATCACCAATCCCTTAGTAAAGGGAATTACTCACTAATCATGAACAACTAACACAAAACCCAACAAGAAGAACAAAGAGAAGCAATTAAACTAAACAACTACTCTAATCAAGTAAGAAATTAAGAAAGAACAATAAATGAGATAGAGTTTAGAATGCTCATTGAAGTATTGAAAAGGAATCCAAAACAATGTCACTTTTCATCTTCATCTTCTTCAATCCACCATTGAAGCTCTTCACTTTCTCTCTCTAAAATACCCTAAATTACTCTTAATCTACATTACAAAGTATAAAAACAAAGATTAAAACTAAATCTAAGCCTAATTTATGTGAAGATTGATGGAGAGATGTTAGGGTTTAACCCCTCAAAGAGGAGAGAGAAAACCCCAAAGAAACCCACAATCCAAACTTCCAAAAAGAGGAGAGGAAGAAGCGTTTAAAAGACCCGTAGCTGCTCGTGCGCGCCCGCGATATTTGCCTGCGCGCCCGCGCACTGGGATTGGCCTGGCAGCGACATTCATTTTCAAACAGCCATAACTTCTATTCTAGGAGGCTTCTGTGGGCGTGCAACCTACCGTTGGAAAACTCTTTAAGTCTAGTTTCCAATGCAACTTGAATCACCTCAATCAAATTTGTAGATCAAAAGTTATCGCTAAAAGAGTGAACAAAGGTTAGTTTTGGAGTTCAGGCCCTTGAGCGCCCGCACCTATCTTAGGAGCGCCCGTGCCTAAGCCGCGCCCAAATCGCGCCTACATTCTGCCTCCAATATTTTCGACCCCAATGTTAGGCACGCCCGCGCTGGGTTTGGCGCGCCCGCGCCATTCTGAAAGCGCGACCCGCGCTGTCCGCATGGCCTTGCTTGCTTGCTCCTTAACTTCCTTTGTAGCTCTTCAAATGAACTCCAATTCTCCAAGCTCTTCATTCTCTCAAAATCAACTCCAAAAGCCTACAAAACACGAGGAAAAGCACAAAAACATAATAAAGAGAGAAACTGAGCAAAAGGGGTACAAACAAGGGACAAACGTAGAAAAATACCGCGATTAGAGGATCTAAATAGTGGCATAAATGCCACTTATCAGCAAGATGTAAGAAAGTGAACTTGTTGTTGAATTGGGAAAAATGCCATTTCATGGTTGAAGAAGGAATATTCCTTGGCACAAAATTTCCCACAAAGGCATAGAGGTTGACAAGGCGAAGATTGAGGTTATCGAATAGTTGCCACCTCCGGTCAATGTGAAAGGTGTGAGATCATTTTTGGGCCATGCCGGGTTCTATAGAAGATTCATTAAAGATTTTTCACTTATTGCAAAGTCCCTCAATGATCTTCTTCAAAAGAATGTCGAGTTTGTATATGATGGCAAGTGTTTGGAGGCATTCAATAAGTTGAAGAAAGCTCTAATCTCCACTCCAATTGTTCAAGTTTCAAGATGGGATTTGCCATTTGAGTTAATGTGTGATGCAAGTGATACGGCTATTGGAGGAGTTTTAGGTCAAAGATTTGATAAGAAACTTCATGTGATTTATTATATGTCCAAGACTCTAAATGAAGCTCAACTAAATTACACTACAACGGAAAAGGATTTCTTAGCTATTGTTCATTCCTTTGAAAAATTTATTTGTTGTTTGTTGGGGTCCAAAGCAATTGTGTTCACCGATCATGTGGCCCTAAAATACCTTTTTGGGAAGAAGGAATCAAAGCCAAGACTAATTCGTTGGGTGTTAGAGCTTCAAACCTTTGACCTTGAGATTAGAGATAAGAAAGGAGCAAAGAATGTGGTAGCGGATCATCTATCTAGGCTTGAGGATTTTCAAGTTCAAGATGATGGGTATCCCATTAAAGATAGAATGTTAGATGATTCTTTGTATGCTATAGATGTGAAGGAACTCCCATGGTTTGCCGATTTGGTGAACTATCTCGCTTGTGGGGAATTTCCTCCTTCATTTTCCAAGAATCGAAGAAAGAAGCTCAAAAGGGAGGCTAGGCATTATGTTTGGGATGAACCGATTTTGTACAAAAGGGGTGTTGATGGGTTGTTGAGGAGATGTGTTCCAAATAATGAGTTGCCTTATGTATTGAAGAAGTGTCACTCAGATCCGAGTGGAGGTCACATGGGTGTCTCAAAAACGGCTTCGAAGGTGCTTCAATGCGGATTATGGTGACCAAATCTCTTCAAAAATGTTTGGGAGTTTGTCAAGAGTTGTTACCAATGCCAAAGGACCGGAAACATTTCAAAGAGAAACAAAATGCCCCAAAAACCCATTCTAGAGTTGGAGATTTTTTATGTATGGGGAATAGACTTCTTGGGTCCTTTTCCTAATTCAAATGGGAATCAATATATCCTTGTTGCCGTCGATTATGTGTCAAAATGGGTGGAAGCTATTGATTCGCCTACAAATGACCATAAGGTAGCAATGAAGATGTTCAAGAAGATAATCTTCCCACGGTTTGGCATCCCAAAGGCAATTATTAGTGATAATGGATCTCATTTTGTGCATAGTGCCTTACGCAAGATGTTGAAGAAACATGGAATTTATCAACGTTTCGTACTCCCCTATCACCCTCAAACTAGTGGGCAAGTTGAAGTGTCTAACCGTCAAATCAATTTGATTCTTGAGAAGACGGTAGCAAGAAATAGTACGGATTGGTCGGATAAGCTAGATGATGCCTTGTGGGCATATAGAACGACTTTTAAAACTCCTATTGGCACTACTCCTTACCGCTTGGTTTATGGGAAGTCTTGTTATCTTCCGGTCGAACTTGAGCATCGTACTCATTGGGATATAAAGAAAATCAATTTTGATTTGGAAAGTGCGGGTGAGCAACGTTGGCTTGATCTCCATGAGTTGGAAGAACTTCGATTGGATGCTTATGATTGTGCAAGCATGTACAAAACTCGCACTAAGGAAGTGCATGATAAACTCATTGTGAAGAAAGAGTTCAATGTTGGTGGCAAGGTCCTCCTTTACAATTTCAAGATGAGATTATTTCCCGGGAAGCTAATGTCTCGTTAGAGTGGTCCTTTTGTTGTTCAAGAGGTTTTTCCTAATGGTGCGGTTGAAATAACTCCTTTGGATTTTTCAAGAACTTTCAAAGTCAATGGTCATAGGCTCAAGCGCTACTATGATGGAGTTTTTGTGGGGGTTGTTCATGATATGAATCGTTTTGATCCACCTTGAAGGGTGGAGAACGTCAAGCTAATGACTTTAAACAAGCGCTTTTCGGGAGGCAACCCGAGTTTCTAACCATTTTCTCTATTTTCCTTTATTTTTTGTTTTCTTTTTGTTGTTTCTATTCTTATTTGATTTCTTTTCTTGATTTTGTTTTTAGGTGGTTTTGATTAAATTTCCAACAATTTTGGTGCCTATTTTGAAGAGAGAGTGCTCAAGTTGGTGAATTGGAAGTATGCTTAAAAGTTAAAGTTTGGTGGGTTCAAATGGTGGGCTCATAAAAATCTTGTGTTGAACCCACATTCTTGGGGTTTAGAAACTGCTTGCCTCAACCTTTATCATGATCATTTCGTATGTACTCACCGATGTGCTCACGAGAAGGG